AAAAAAAAACCAAGAGATCGTAAATAATGAGCAAGAATTAAAGATTAGCTACCTTTCCCAATTTTCTCATTTAGTTCAGTTTTTAAAGATGCAATCTCGGACTGTCCACTGCCAGTAGCCTCTTCAAGATCTTTTTCCTAAACGAGAGGGTGTTCTGTTTCAATGATACTGACAGCTAATAGTTATTACATCAAATAATGGAAAATAAGAAAAATTACCCGTTCTGCTAGCTTCAACAAGGCCCTTTTGAGCGATCCTTCAGTTTCCACCAGTTGCTGTTCAAGGCGACAATTCTAGAAACAACTTGGATGATGAACGTTGTCAGTAAAAATATTTGCACAAACCTTTTCTCGATCAACTGATACATCAGTGGCTAGCTGGCTATTGCGCTGAGTTAATTGCTCAGTTATAGTCAACATTCGTTCAGCTTGTTGACGGCATTCTTCTGCTTCTTGTTCAGCGACCTCAACCGAACTAGAGTATACAGCAAAACAAAGATGTGTACGATAGATACCTCTCTTTCCTTTTCTGCTTGTTCTTGTGCTACCTTGGCCCTCTCCAGTGCTTTCTTAGAGCTAGAATATCGCGTACTTTTTGCGACTTCATCTTAAATTTGTCTAGCCCACCTGGAAATCTGGTTCTCGATGCCGCGTAGACGAGAAAGTTCAACATTTGCAGCTGTATGAGCTTCTTCCTCTAGAGATAGCTTATCTTCTAGATCCTGAAGTTTTCTGAGCAAATCGAGGTTTTCTCTGAAGGAAAGTTTTTTCTAAAATGCTAAGTCGAAGCTCTGCAGCATTAAAGTGCTACGCGCATACCTTGTTACTTCTTCTAGTTTCCCATTCACCTCCCTGTTGTTATCAGTTAAGCGCAATATGTGGGAGTTCGCTTCAGCTAGCCGCTGTTCCAATTCCTGCTGTGATTTGCTAAGTTCCTTCGACTCGTGCTGTCTGCGAGATTCTTGCACCTGAAAATCGTGTAGATATCTCATGTTTGCAAGATGAACTAAGACTTCAAAAAATAAAGTATTTTAGTGCAAAAACACCACTGTACGCATATCACGAAGGATCTAGTCATAGAAAACCAAATCCAACCTTGACTGCTTCTCTCATGATCTTCCACGCATCGCAAGGACAGTAACGTCAAAATTAACGATCTGCCGATCATTCGTGGTGTCTAACTTCAAAACTTTCAAAACATGAGATAGAAATTAGTCTTTCCTGATCAGCGATAGGAGGAAAGAACAGCATTTAAAAACATGTGAGCCTTGTAGAAACTGCTTCAAATGATGGAACTACTGTTTTCGATTTTCCATAATGAGAAAAGCCATCCCAGAAGAATAGTTGCGTAAAAAAATAAGAACTTCTATAGAAAAATGAGCATAACCAAAGTATGACCAACCTGCGTTTTCAAGGATAATTGCCTATGATCCTCTTGTATCTGAGCCTTTTCCTCTTTGACCTGTATTAACTGTTTGCGCAAAACATCGCACTGCTGCTTCAGCTCCGTAGCTGTTGTGCTGCACGCCTGAAACAATCCATTAACAGCAAGAAGGAAGCTAGGACTTAAGCAAAAATTGCGAGATAATTTCAAAGGGCTGTTTTTT